AAGGTTTGCAGTTTTTACTGCTCCGAATGCAGACTTAACGCTTCTTAGGACTCTGAGTAGCTGATGAGGGGAGTTAGCAATCCTCGGCTTGATTATCAGTTACACGTATGGATTAAATCCCCTTTTAATGGTGTCTAATGAGCCTTTCATTTTTAGAACCTTACACAAAAGCCCCTAATAGAAAGAGAGAGTAATATCTCAAAGGTCATCTGAATGCCACTTCATATCAGCAATCCGTAATCAAGCCAATATAGAGAGATGGTGATTAAAGTCCAGTTGTGATCCTTTACATATGAAATCATCCCCTAAATTAGCAACACGGTGCAAGCTGAGGTCTTTGAGGTTTCAGACAACTTCGAATTTCTAATTAAAGTTTGTTACTCGAACACAGCCTCAGAGTTAAAGAGAATTTTCTGAGACTTCACATAGTGCAGTATTTTCTAAACCCAAGTGACTTAAAGTTCTGCCACTGACAACTTCACACGCTATCCCCGTATGTGTCTGTAAAACTATTATAACAAGCACATGGAAAAGATGGTTCCCACTCAGTGCTTCTTTCCAATGGAGAAACATAATGGACAGTAGAAATGTGGGGCGTTCTGTAGGTCAGAAGGGTCCGGGAGACCTTATGGGCCTGCCTGTCTTGGGGTGGACATCTACCTGACAGCAGAATTATCATTTGGTCTGAATGCCAACACAGCTACAGGTAGAACTCAAACTTCAGTCCATCTGTAGCAGTCTGATGTTTCGGTTGATCACTTTGTACAGCCCATGAATGATGTTATAAATATCCACATGGATCCCTTGTCAGATAAAAAGTTCTCCAGTTCTGGGACTCTCCAGTAAGAGACTGGGATTCTGGGTTTTTGTCCCATTTGTTGTGTGAACAGAGATAACCCTGCCCTATCCTGAAATGGAGATGCTAATTCCTAGTCCTACCATGGTTGTCTGCATTAGAAGTGGGTGACTTCTGCAGACTGTTCTTCCTTATCCATGGGAACTACACGCTAAGATCCACTGTGATGCCTAAACTGTTAATAGTACCAAACCCTCTATATGCTTCTAGTTTGTTTTCACATGCCCATATGTATTTGAAGATTTATTTTTATTGGGAAAGACAGATTTACCGAGAGAAGGAGGTACAGAAAGACCTTTCATCTTCTGGCTCACTCCCCAAGTGGCTGCAATGGCTGGAACTGAGCTGATCCAAAGCCAGGAGCCAGGACCTTCCTCTGGGTCCCCCATGTTGGTGCCAAGGCTTTGAATCATCCTCGGCTGCTTTCCTAGGCCACAAGCAGGGACCTGGAAGAAAGTGAAGCCACTGGGACATGAAATGGAGCCTGTATGGGATCCCGGTGTATATGAGGCAAGGATTTAGCCACTGAATCCTTGCACTGTGCCTTGTTTTCACATAACTATGATAGAGCTTGATTTAAAGATTATCAACAATGTAAAGATCATTAAAAAAGAGGGAGAGATAAAAAAAGACAAATTCTCCACTGAAGGAGATTAGCAAAATAACATAATAAAATAGGACTATTTTTAACAATATATTGCCAATAATCTCTCTGGAAATATCTTATTCTGTAGATGTTAGCAACTTTAGTGAATGATTTTTTTCCTTGTAAGTTGAGAAACTTTATGTTTTTACTTAAAGGAAGTGTTTTGCAGCTTTTTTTTTTTTTTTTTTTTTTTGCATGCCGAATTGCCACTATCATTCTCTTATGCTTTGGGGTCAAGATTAAATAAAATAAGAGAGCTTTAGCCCAAACACTGTGGTGCTGTGTTAGTTGATATGATAATTGGACAACTACAAAGAGACCAAGGGTTATGGACTGTCATTTTACACAGCAGTTGGGTGATTGTGGCAGTGACAGGAAGGAGTGAGCAGTGGACACAGTAGACCTTAGCTCTCAAGATGCAACTTATGCTATAGGAACATCATTGAGAAGACACTGACCCAACCCAAGGAAACACTGCTAATGGGCCTTGCTTTGCCAAGCAGTTTATGTTTGCAAGGCGAGATATGCTCATTAAAGATTTGGAAAGCATGAAAAACTACGAAGGATAAAAGCCATCTGTTCACTCAAACACCCAAAGACTCCACTTGCGGTGTGTTTTGTAACTGTCTTTTGCAAACCTACCTCTAAGTATTGGTTTATTTTTTAATGCATTAGCATTTAATTGAACTTATAAATCTAGGGACTAGAACAGCCCAAGGGAGAGGAAATTCTTGTGCTGAATTATAGGGTTATGCCCCTAACGAATGATAATGATTTGGTATAAACTCACTTGCTTTCAAGCTCCATCCAGCTGCCATTACAGAAATGAACACCTTCTCCTCCTTCCTCTCCTTGCACAAGTGCCAGTGTGACAAGTTCGTACAGGCGTGGTACTATCCACACTCCAGTGATAGTGTGGCTGGTAGGCACCCCCACCAAGCCATGTGTCAGTCCTCTGGGACCCCAGTTGGAGTTGGAGTTCATGCTTTCTCCAGGCGCAGTTCCTTCAAGAAGAATGAGTAGACAGCATCCGTCATGAGCACTTACCTATGCAAAATTGCCTTTTCTGGCCTCAGTTCTTACAAGTCGTTGAGGTTGAACCCTTCACACCTCATGTTTCTGCTGGTGATATCACGAGGCTGCTCTGAGGTCGTCAGGTCTTTCTGGATACAGAGAAGATCTCTGCTCTTCATTATTTTACAAATCATCTTTTCTGGCCCTTCTCAGTCTGGATGCTCCTATTCCTCCCCATCCCCTTGCTATTCAAAAAATGATCAGAATCTTGTAGACATAGTTAATTTTCCATTGATTTGCTTGCAATGCCAGTGCTTTGGTCTTTGTTCTTGCTTCTCTTGATAGTAATAGTAGCAGTTGGTTGAGTTGTATCTGCGGGCCTTAGTAGGAACGGTCTTGGAAGGACCGGTCTATGCATGTTTTTGGCCAGTCTCATGGATAGTTTGAACCAGTCTAGGGCGTGTTTGTGATTCCTCTCATCACCCTTTGATAGAACCAACAGTCTTATTTTCATCTGCTCCTTAGAAGAAATTTGGTTAATCTAGTCAAAAGCAGCCCTCTACTCCCATGTCGGTGCCTGGGCAATGCCGCTTTGTCTCTGACCAAGATCTGAGGCAGCTGTGGAAGTGAAGAGTCCCCTGGGGTCGGCCCAGTTCTGAGGATGCATCCTTGGAGCTGGCCCCAGACTGGGATGGACCCTACGAAAGAGCCTTGCTGCGAACCCAAAACCACAAGCTCATTTCATACCTAAGTGTGGTCCCTCAGGTGATTCCAAGTCAAACAAACGGAGCTCCAGGAGTTTGTTCTGAGCGGTCAAGCACAGAGAACCTTAAGAGCAGCTTTGGTCGGCAGAGGCCTCTTAGCTGTGATGTGGGGTTAATTCTGAGCTCCTTTATCCTCAGGCCTGATAACTACCAATCTACAGGAACAAATCCCTCGCTCCCTTTTCTTCTAGCAGTGTGCCCTCTACGTATGCCTTTTCACTCTGTGGAAAACGTAGTTGGCATCCTCAGCATTCATTTTATGTTCAGGCTAAATTTATTTGTCTGTAAAATAGAAATCAAGAAAACACCGAAATTATTTTAAGCAAAATATCAAAATTGAAATAAACCAACATATGTCTGTGTGAAACATGTATAACTCTCAATCAAAAATAAATGCCACTTTCACAAATGGCTTAAAATACTCTCTACCATACAAAATCCGGACAACTTAAATAGATGGAATTATGACATGCTTGATTGTGCTTCCTGCGTAGTTTATCCTCTACTTAAAAATTCCAAGACGTAAGATTAACCCTGGATGATCCATTCTATTTTAATGAAGAGAACCACGGAGTTTTTTGTTTGTTTGTTTGTTTTTAATTTTTGGAAGCCAGGTGCTTCTACCTGATGTGTTTGGGAGCCATCTTAAACTTATCTTCTTCCATACACTAAAAAAAAAAAAAAAGGTAAGCTTTCTTGGTTGTTTTCAAAGTACTTGCTTTGTTCTGTGGGCTTCTAAGTCTCTCTTTCAGTACTATCTCAAATGGGATTAAAGTTGTCAAAGGAACTAATAAATGTCTGGGGCTTAGCACCAAAGTAAAAGTTAAAAATCAGAAACCCCCATCCTCTTTTGTGCTGCATTTACGTCTTCTTTCTAATACATTAGATTGTCACCTCAAGGATCAGAATAATTTGAACCCTGTAGTAGCAGCTGATATTTTGGTCAAGAAAGATGTTAAATAGATGTTACCGTCAGTCGATACTATTGACAAATCAAAGAAGCAGTCACTGAAAACTTACGCTTTTCCTTTTTAGTTCTGTTCTTGAATTAGATAACAAAGTGTCAAAAAATGGGGGAAAAACTAAGCTGTTACTTTATTTGGAAAATGATTTAGTACTAGATGAATCATCCCTGTCTTCAAGTTCTTAAAAAAAAAAACATAATAAAAATTATCTCCTTGGCTTTGGCTGAGCTAATGAATCTAGTGGACTCAACTCTGGCCATTTTCATCCCTGACTCTTTCCTCTTTGATTCTCTCTCTCTTTTTTTTTTTCTCACACATTATTCAGATTTTTTTGTTAGTTTCTTAGTTGTCAGAAAATTTGTTCCTTCCTGATTCCTTCAATTGAGACTGGTTGGGAAATGGAAAAGGCTGTTAATTTGTTTTTAATAATAATAAAAAAAGGACCCACATTACTGCATTTTATTAACCGAGCCAGATGGTTCAGAGAATTTTCTCTGACATAAGTAATCAGAGAAATCAGTTTGGGACCCAGATCGGCTATGGAACGTGGCATGTATATTTGGTGGAGAAAAGAAAAAAAGCAGTTTATATAAACATAGGGATATTTTTAGAAGTCCTGTTTGATACTGCTTGGGACTGATTCTGCTATTTGAAGCTAAGTGCAAACCAAAAACTTTTCTTCCTTCCCTGAGCCTCCAACCATTCAACATCTTCCTCCACAAACAAACAAAAAAATGATTTTTCTTCTCTTGCAGTTTGAAGGTTGCAAAAAAGCCTTTTCAAGGCTCGAAAATCTCAAGATTCACTTGCGGAGCCACACAGGCGAGAAGCCATATCTGTGCCAGCATCCGGGCTGCCAGAAGGCGTTCAGTAACTCCAGTGACCGTGCCAAACACCAGCGGACACATCTGGACACTGTAAGAATGGCAGCAGTCTCCCAACTCGCAGCCCAGAGCCCCCTTGGGAGGAAATGCCTGTTGGGTAGTGAAACGGGGAAGGTGTGTGCTTTATGGGCTACAGGTTTCAGGGGCAGTGCCAAGGGCAGCAGAGAAGGTGAGGCAAGAGCCAGCAGGGGCCTCATTCAACTGTTTCAGCTTTCTGTAGTTGCAAGGTTCTCCTAACCTGCACAGCTTCCTGGCACAGACAAGGTTCTTGATCACCTGTGTGTACAGAGCCTGAATGGGGGCTGTCGTGTGGTAGATGTTAGTGCAGATAAGGACCATTAGAATGACTGGGCACCAAGGTGCATATTTTAAGTAGCAAGACATAGCAAAAGTCGATAATGTATGCGATTACTGGAAATGTGACGAGTTCGTTTGTCCTGGCTAGTTCTTCTGCTCTTGACATAAGACTTTGGCAGCTTGAGACTTTGGCAGTTTCTTCATTAGAAACCACCTGCTCTTATCAACTGCAGACAGGCCACCAAGCAGCAGCAGCTGTTCCCCAACAGTTGAGTTGCACCATGCTTCCTTGTGTTGGCTGGCCACACCGCCTCTAGCATCTACCTTGTGGGAGACCACTGACTTTCCTTACTGACCCTGCAACGCTGGCACCTGTTGCTCCTCCACCAATGCCTTTTCTAGGACCCTCAGCTTTTGTATCTTCTCCATTATGTTGGTAGCCCTGCCTTTCTCAGGTCCCCATGCTGTGTTCCCTACCTGAGGCCAGGTCGACCATATCATTTTGCTTCACTTAACAAAGCAGTCAGGATAAAGGTATTCTCTGTAACACAGATCTCCTATCCCACATTTCTCTCAGTTAATGTATTCATGACAGTACTTGCTCGGTGTTAACGTTCTAATGTCTATTATTAAACGACACCAGAGTTTTGAATTTTGAAGAGATGCCGTTATTTCCGCACACACCTTCTCATACATATTTAAGACTCTTCTGATGTTATAGTTGACATATTTATTAAATTTTATATTAGACTCTATTAGTCATATTGATAGAAGTCATTTGGATATATGTCACAGAAGCATTCTGAACTGGAGTTATCTCCTCATATACTTAAGCGTAATGGCTTGCCTAGTGCAGTGTACACTAAATCAGTGATTTGGGGGCCGATATGATAGAACATTAAATAGACGAATTTGGAATAAGAGGACTTTCTTTAAGAAATAAATAAATAAATAGTGCTAAAATACCCTGAGTTTGCTGTGTCTAAGATGATCTTGGTAGAATTCAATACATTTTTCCAGTTTGTCATGACATTTGATCATGCAAGAATGAGCATTCAGGAGACACGATTGTCCTTAGCACTTGCTTTTCGTCTAGCTTGCTCTCCGTAGTTTGGAAGAACTATTGCTAGGCTTAGTGTTGCACTTCTACAATGCCTGTCTTTGCTCGGAGCTAATTTTAGCTAATTAAACTAAGAAAAATGTTCAGGAATCATTTCGGATTAAGAAAAAAATATATCCCTGTTTGAGACTTTTGAGGCAGACGACCCTATTTCATGGTGCCAGTTCAATGCACTAGCTTTAAAACTCATTTAATGCTTATTTTTTTTTTAAGAAGCTAGTTGTCTGTAAAAGCTTTAAAAGCCAACATTTTTTCCCCCTTTAAATGCCAAACTAGCCTCTGTTTTGGTTTTTACTACGTTTAACAAATTGGGAAGCTATTTTAAAACACATAGAGAAATTAAATACTTGTTTTTTAAAAAAAGGGAACTGTAATTTGAAGAATTTGTGGTTTAAACCGAGGTTCCTATTCCCTTTCATTAAGTGCTCCTTATGCTAATGCTGTCAGAACTTTGGATAAGGTATCTGTTCAGCTAAGTGGATTTTTATTCCTAGGATTTAGTGAGTTCATAATTCTAACCCTGAAAACTTTAATTCCTTTCTCTGTTAGTATCTTAATACCCAAGCAAGGGAGGTAATTATATGTAATAAACGTAGAAAATAATGAAATATTTTTTGTTTGGTATAGTATACCATTGAAAGCTAGGTAATCCGAGATAAAATGATTAATGCAGCCAGACTACTTAGACTGGTCTGTTCTGTTTTGCATACTGGATCCAGGTGATGGATAGCAGGCCAGGGAATGAAGACCAGCTGGTAGTAATGGTGTGCATTCAGGCTGTGTCCTAGAGCATCTCACCATTGAGTAAAAATAACATTATCAGCCAAAATCATAATGATCATGACATGAAGTAAATGTAACGTGTTACTAGGCAGAAAGCTCTTTTGCACATTGTAACATCTATAATACTCATGACTTGAACTTCTGTGGTTGCTAATAATAAAGAAAGTTGCCAGTTACTCCTTATAGCCAAGGCAGGGAAGGGATTGCTGATGCAAGAAAGCTGTGTAAATCCAAAACAGCAGTCCCAGTTAAAGATGACCTTTACTTTCCCAGTTGAAACCCATGAACAAGTGACATCAGCCAACAGTTGGCCCACCACTTTGTGATAGCTGTACAGTTTCAAGAGCTTGGTTAACCCAAGTCTGTTCTTTGACTCCTAACACATAATGAGTTGTCGGTACTCCAGAGCTAGTGGATGACTGGGTCACCTGCTTAGTTGGTGAACAAACACATGAGATATCAAACAGCTCACATTGAGTATGTCAAATTATATATTCATAACTTCACTCTGTTCTTAGCATCAAAGGAGTGAACCACAAGTAAAGGAGTGAATTGCAAGTATGGCTTTTTAGCTCTAGAGTGATGTAAGTCATGTATAGATTGACCCACAATATGACAAGCATACTTTGTAACATAGGACAGCCACAAGTAAGCCATTTTCTTTTTAAAGTTACGTTTTCGTTTTGGTTAATAGTAATCCCTCAGGTTCTCAGAGCAAGAATCCCATTATGAAAACGGGTTGAGCTGTCATCCCTACTTTTCACGTTGAATAATTCACCTGATGAGATGCTTAGGAGACCATGCTTAGTAGATAACATGGTTCATCTTGTGGGGGCTTTTTGCCTGTTTGTTGTGTTTTGTTTCTCAAACTAAGCCAAAGGTTGTTTGTTTGTTTGTTTTTTTAATTTCTCTCGTAACTAAATATTCAGTCTCAGGCCTTTGTGTTGTCATGATAGTAGGGATAGGTGTTGAAAGTTGAATGGGTGAGAGATACTTTTATTTATTGGTTCTTAACTAGTAGGTAACTCCTCTTAACTAGTAGATAACTCCTCTTAACTAGTAGATAATTCCAGACTCAAATTCAGGCTGCACAGAAGAACTGAAGTAGCTGAAATGTGTGTTCTTATCACATTTAGCCATAGGGTAATTTGTGTAACTTGGGCCCAGCTCCAGAACTCTTCCGTAACTAATAATATTAATATTTCTCTGGCTGATTGTTCATGTGTCTTTTGTTTGAAAGCAACTATCCTTTACTCACTTTACACTAATTTTCCCTTCTTAATTCTTTCCTTCTCTCTTTCTGAATCAGGTTTCTTCTGAAACATACCCAATCTTTTCTGGACTTTTCTACAGCTTCTTTACCTGAACTCTTAAAGAATGTGTGTTTAATAGTTTCTGACCATACCAAAGATTGCTCTCAGGGAAATGTAACTGTAAGTATGACTGGAGATGCTTACTAATAATTTCCACATTAAACAATGCCAACTGGGAGTCTTGTGGTTAGCATGAAATCGAAAGCAGTCACTTAAAAGCCATCAAGGATAGGCCATCTCTTTGTTCACTCTTCCTTTTACCATGCTGCAATTTTTAAGTGGGATTTCTAATTAAAATGCATGAGTATTACCTAGCATTTCACATCAGTGAACTTAAAGTCTGAAGTCAGGAGTCTTTGAGTAAAACCATCTCTGGTTATCTTTATGATGTAACAACAGCCATTTCTTTCTTTCTTTCTTATTCAGAAACCTTATGCTTGTCAAATTCCAGGATGTACCAAACGCTACACAGACCCAAGTTCCCTAAGAAAGCATGTGAAGGCCCATTCTTCCAAAGATCAACAAGCAAGGAAAAAGGTAATTTTGAAAGAGAATTTCCCAGCCAGGAAAAGCACCTTTACCTTACCCTTTCTATACATAGAGCTTTGGCGGGACATTGGGATTTCTTTGACTTCTCAAGGTGTAACATGCTTCGGACTCTGTTGAGGGGGAAAGTCTTCCATGAGTTGAAAAAGCAAACCTGTGATGTTCATAGCTGAGAGAGCTAGAGAAGGATTTCTGGGAAAGATCTGAAGAGTAGGAACCAAAGAAAATTAGTGAAAGTCTCCTTACTGCAAATAACAGAAAGCTGTTATGGCAATGAAGCCCAAACAGCTCAAAGAAATTAAGTTGGGGAAAAAAAAATCTTTCTTGGAAAGACAGTGCTTTTTCATAAAGATGTCATTTGGGATATAGAATGATTTTAGTGCTCATGAAGAAGAAGGTAGGTACGTTTCTAGTCTGGGAAAACTGTTGAGCGTGGTTTCTTGATGGGTACTGTGTGTGGAATCTTAAACTGAACTAGAAGTGAATGCCACAATGACTTCAGTGAGGATTTAATGCCCCTTTGGAAATTTGGAAAAATCGTCTGGATTCAAAGAAATGGTGAAGATCAACCAGGCCTTCTGTCTGGTTCTCTCTCCTGAATTCGTAAGATGCTTGTAAGAGCTGGACTGCGATGTGTTTCATCATCTGTAGATGCTGAGAACTTGACTGTCTTTCAAGGCAACTGCCAGTCTCTGAGTTTTTCAATTTGTGAACCAATTGAAAGACATGTGGAGCTGAGCATGCCTTTTTGAGTGTTCCATTTAAAATGAGTTGGAGCTTGATTCATTTATAGGCTTTTATAACCAGTATAAAGACAGTGTGAGACTTAACTTATTTCAAGTGACTGAATACCATGGCAAGGGTTACAGAACACCATGGCTTCCACTGAGGAATCCTCCATTCTTTCATGGTTAATAGGGATTTAACACTTTTGTGTTGGGAAATTCTCTGTAGTCTTTTGTTGCTGAAGTTTTTTCTTCCCCGAGAGTGATGAGGACAATGCCAACCAAAAATTCTTATATGGAAAGAACTAGACGAAGTCCTGACAACAACAACAAAAAATGCTCAATTAGAAGGATTTAGTAGATATTTTTAATAATCTTTTTCTGTTTTATTAGAAAGAGATACAGGTAGAGGGAATACCTTCCATTTGCTTGATCTCTTACAATGTCTGTAATGACCAGGAGGGCATCAGTCCAAGGCCAGGAGCTCAGCACTCCATCCATCTTTCCCACATATGTGGCAGGTACCTGACCATTTGAGCCATCAACCTGCAGCTTCCCAGGGTGCACATTACAAGCAGAGCCAAAGCTCAAACCCAGGCTTGCCATTAGAGGATGCAGGTGTCTCAAGCCATGTCTTAACTATTAAGCCAAATATCCACTGTGTTATTATTAATTATGTACACACCCATGCCTATAAGTCTATTGTTAAGGTTTTTCTCCAGAAATATAGTTAAATCTCTAATTGGAATCCCAGGAAGTTGTTGTCTGTAACCATTTGGCATGGATTAGATTTATCCTTACATTTGGGAAAACCAGGGGAACTGCTAAATAAATTAACAACCTAAAAAGCAAGTAGGATGCTTTTTTTTTTTAAATAATAACACACCATTTTGCCTACTGCTAAGTACTGTCAACAGGACTGATGTCTAATAGTTTTTCTCCATACACACACACACATACACACACATATGTACATGTACAAATTTGAAGTGAAGTAATGTATTTGTTCTTATTTTTTATAAACCCTTAGAGATGGCAAGTTTTCTTCTCCAAGTCTGGCCTTTTGCTTACTCTAAGTTGTCCCAAATGTATATGGTTTCATCATAAAAGCAAATATGTCCTAAGATTGGAGAGTATCATGTAGATATAACAACTCAAATACACCTTCTAGACAAGAAGTAACAATATGATGTGCAGATCACAAAAGTAGCCTAGTTAACCACTGTAGAAACAGAATGGGATAGTTTCAAGTTTTCATTGTTCCATATGGGTGGGTTTCAGGCTAGGCAGAAAGGAAGAATATAGTTTTGTGTGGGAGCTTCTTGAACCACTCTCTGAAAATAGTGAAAGAGATCTGAAAAACGTAACATGTAACTTTGTTGATAATTTGCAGGAGATCTTTAGTAGGCAGTCAGGGTAGCATGGTGGTTTTTTTTGTTGTTTGTTTGTTTGTTTGTTATTTGAGGAGCAGGACTGTAATCTCATGTCAGAGCCTCCTGAATTTTGTCATGTGTAAGATGAGATATTGTCTCTCAGAAGTGTGGCCTCTCATGTTCACTCTGTTTCCTGCAAATGATTCAGCTGCATTTGGTCATCTCTCGTTGCTCAGCTCAAGGTGACAGGCTTACAGTGTTGATTTTCCATCTGAAGATCTAGAAAAAAAAATCCTTTATCAATCTATTATGGGTGAATCTGTGAAATGTAAAGTGATGAAAGTTGCTCCATCCAACAAAAAAAGAGGAAACATCACTCTCAGGAGAAGTGTTTGGTCCTAAACCTCAAATCAGTTCATCCACATTTCCAATTCGTGTGCCGATGCACTCGCGGGTCTTATTGACACGGTACGCTGTTGTTACTAGACCTTGGAGAGATTCTAATTGCTTACTTGCATCACGACTTGGTATTTGAAACATTTCCTGGCAGCAATAATAGTAATAATAATAAAAGAAACAATAAACCTTTTAAGGCAGAATTAAGATTATTTACGACTTTAATTAAAAATGGAAAACTGGCATCATTTCAAAAAAAAAAAAGCCTTTACAAAAATGTGAACTCATCAAAAATAACCATAAAAATTCCAAGGTGATAAAGGCTCTGTGGAGTCATGGTCGCAGCCCTAGGGAATTGTTTTGTTGAAAAGAAGAAAACTCTTTTCTGTCACACCCTGTTAGTCATGGACTTGTTTAATATACTCTGCCTGTCTGCCTTTAATCCTCTTTGCAACCTCCCCTAGTCACTAAGACATTATTTTGGTCTTAAGATCGCAGCCCTCCTCTGAAATCATGGCCAGGAACAAGACAACCATAGCCACAGATGAATGTATACCAGGAAGTGCAGATAGCTCCTCCATGATGTGCCAACCATAAACCTGTGGCCCTTTCCACACCTGTTGGAGCCCATACATGTTGAGGGATAACCAAGAAATCCCAGCTAAACGTTATTCAAACTGTGAACAGAAAGAAGAGCGGGGAGACCCATTTTTGCAGAGGAATGAGGATAATTTGGTTCATTGCGTGCAGAGTTAACTTTTCTCTTTGCATAATTCCTTCACACCCACACACCCATCAGCCAACACACAGACTTCCTCCTGCAAATGCATGCTGCCGATCTTGAGTTCCATTGAATTGAGGGGCTCGCCGTTGATGAGTTGTGCAAGGACTCGAGTCACTAGATACGGTGTTTGTGGAGCAAAAGACAGAACATGTCCTTCAGATCTCTCTGATAATAGTAAGTTAGTGAAAGAAGGGAACACAGCAAGGCAGTAAGCCACTTGAAGTGTTTCTCAAGGCTGTGAGCTTTATCAGCATTTTTCATTTTCCTCTTGGAAGTGCAGTAAGCCAAGGGGAAATTTCCTGCAGATTTAGCCGGTTATCAAAATGAAATTTTCTCAAAAGTCAATATAAACAATGCCTTGCCAGAATTTTAAAGGTGACGTGAATCTTTCACCCATGTGACACTTCCACAATGCTTCTGATTGGTGCGTATTATTTGTTCAATATTGGTAAAAACATTGGTCTTGGATCCACCATGGCTGATGCTTTTTGCTGGTGTGATCTCAACACAAGCTTTTGTAAACCCATTGTCGCAAACGACATGTGAATGAGTGCAACACGAACTTATACTGCCTACTTGGACAATAGGTCTGAGTAGCTTTCTGGTGAAATGAGAGAAGCTTATTAATATAGCTGTCTTCACATAGAATAGAGTGTGCTTTGGGATGTGTTCAGAGGGGCCACCTCCCACCCCTGCCAGATACCGATCACGGTAAACTGTTTCATTAAGGAATACTCTGGCTCACCTTGTTGGGTACAGTTGTTGGAATTTCAAAAAGCCATGCAAAAATAAATATGTCCTTTACATTGAAGCAGGCCTTTAAAAGCTATTAAGGCTCAGTTTTCTTGTCAGTCACTTTCTGTCACAGCTCCTGTGGCAGATGGCACACATAAGTGGGGCACAAAATCAGGGACTACTCTAGGTTTTACGAACTCTCTTCTTGTTTCGGCTCAGCAAGAAGTTAAAACCGCACCTGCTATTAATGGAATATTAGTAATAGGCGCATATCACACACATCATCTCTCAAGCTAAAGTAGTCCATCCCTTCCTCTCACGTTTAAGAAGCTAAGTTAGGATGTTGGTGGGTGGGAAGCTGTTGTAGGGGTGATATTCAATCTGTGGTAATTTTTTTTTAATGAGTCACAGCCTTCAATGATTTGACAATTGTTGGTGTTAATTACTTATGTCCTATCTCAAAATGATGACGAGACGCATGTGAACGTCCTGATTGTCTCAGTTGAGGGGGTAACTTAAGACAGGTGCTGGGACCTGCTTTTGTGATATACGTAATTGTAAAAGAAAACGCTTGGTGCTTTTCAAAATGTTGGTGGTAAATGCATGTTACAAAAAATGCACACATGTTATTTCCAAAATCAATGCATCTCAAAACCAATGTATATTTTCATTTTTCCCCCCCACAGCATCTTGAACTGCACTCTGAGTGATACTAACCTATAACTAGTTATAAATGAACAGTAAGACATTGCCAAGTGAATTCAATGCTCTCAGCACTGATTGGGAGTTCTAACAGGTTGCCTGTGTTCGAAGTAGTCCTACTAAACGCCAGCTGTCATCTCGAGACCATCGGAGGCTTACACGATGAGCTGTTTAGAAGAAGTTGGGGAAGGTCAATAATGAGACTGACTAGTTAGAGTGAGTTTCTGTTCCTTTCACGGGGGATCAGAAAAGTTGTCTTCAGCCTTACAAACACAG